GCCAGAGATCACTAAATCCCCAACTCTTCACATTGCACAGTGTTAAACAAAGAAAGTGAATTAACTGCTTCTTTAACAGCAGTTATTTCTGCCAGAAACTGTCTGTAACTTCATTGTTAGCGTGTCAGTCACATTTATAGCCTCTTTTGGCCTTTCTTTGACTACACCTTTGCCTGCATCTCACTTGTGACTCTTATTTTGAAGGAATAACAGCCACATGATTAGGGTGATTTTGAGACTAATGTTTAAAAACAAGTGTTTAAGATTGGACTGAAAACACTGGCATATTTTAGATTTTTACACCACCAGAGTCAGACTTCTCTGTACATTTTGGAGACCTTCACTCCAAATCAGCCTATTTAAACAGTTTTTATTGATTGTAAATACATTTCACTGATGTTAAGACTGAAACAATAAGGACAGGTCCCTGTGTAATTTTAGATGTGTGGAGAGTGCTCTGAGCGTGAGGAGGAAGTGTTGTGACAGAAACTACAGGCCTCTCTTGTAGTCCACTTCCCCCTGTCACACCTCATCACTGCTTCTTGTGAAACCCTCTTTATACAGCTACCGGCTCTCTTCCTGCAACTGCTCACAGCTCACTTTGTTAGCCCCCCGAGAGGAAAACACTTTGTCAGATGAATCTAATACACTTGTCTTTATAGTACCTGTCAATATACTCAAGGTATGATCAAGATCATGCACATTTTCTGGTTATTTTAGCATGAACACCATATTTTATATCCATGTACTGGATACACAGTACATCTGTGTTTTCTGCTTGACATGAGTCCAAATCTTCATTTTTATCAAAAATGTGCTCACAAGTCAAAGTAAACAACAATGTAATCAAGGTATTTTGCTCCTTTGAGCTAGACTCAATAAAAGGACATGTCCTCAAAAAGGGGAAACTCACTGTGGTGTTGCTGTGAAGAAGCAGAATTTCCCTGAAGTGATGGCTTTTGAAACATGCAATCATACCCCTTATCAACTGAAAACTGACATTAAAGCACAAAAAACCCCTCCTTTTGTTGGTAAGGATAAAATTAAGTTCATCATGCAACCAGAAAACTGCCTTTAAAAAGCCGGTTTTACCAGAAAACATCCAAATTCAAATTTATAAGATCTGTGTGATTGCAAAAACATCAGCAGGCAAGTGAAAGAGGTGCACTAGCCTCACTTTAAAGAGTGTACACACCAGTTAGAGTGGTTTGGAGCAAAAATAAAAGGTGGTACCGTACCATTGTTCCCTCAGGCCTCTCCCCTCCTCAGGTGTCCACTGTCCAGAGAGAGCGTGTCAATAAAATCCACAGGTCTTCAGACTGCAGCCATCACACAGAAGGACAGACAGAGCCAAAAACCTACAAGACATCCACTGCAACATTCAGAACTTACTTCCTCATACTCCCACAGTTGTTGTGTGAAACAAGAAGTAGTCTAAGATATAACCCCCCCACACACACACACACACACACACACACACAGAGATGCACATACTCATCACGTAAAGTTACTTCTGAACTTCTGTCATATTTAGCGTCATCAGATGATGAACCAACCCATTTGTGTCAGCAGATCCAAAGGTTGACAGCACAATTAGTCTATCCAATTCATGTTGCTCACAGGAGACAAGTGTTGATGGCAGCAACAATTTAAAGGTGATAATTATCTTCAATCTGTTGCCAAATGATGGTGTTTCAGTTGCTGGCTCCACCCAGGCTGTGGTTACTTCATAGTGTGCCTGTATCCTCAGAGCGACTGCTGCTTTCAACACCTATAATAACTGATTCGGGTTCACACAGAGTGTACACCGTGCTGACAGGAGTGGATGTGTGCCTGCGAAGGTGTCTAACTGGGTTGTTTTTGCTGTGTTTTATCAGATTTGGAGTGAGAATGTTTTCCGGTACCTGCACAGCAAATGAAACCACATACTGTAGCTCTGGTCCTAAACATTCAGCTTAGAAACCTTTGAATGGGTTAATGGGATACAGTTGTGCAGTTTTGCCATTCTCTGTGGACAATTTGCATCATTTGTAGTCATTTGTGTTACCTTGTAGTCATTTTGTGTCTTTGTGCAACAGTTTTATGTGGTTTTGTTATGTAGCATCTTTTTGTCTCTTGTACCTTGTCATTAATAAACAGCATCAATAAACAGAATATAAACATTTAATAAGTTTATATAACTACAATATAGTCGTAAAAAGATACACAGTAAAAGGAGGCCGGTGTATAAACAGATTATAGTGAAACATGGTAATAAAACATGTCTTCATAGTGACAAAATTAAAACAGCTGTGTTATATTATAGTGTGTTATACACCATTAATCTAATCCAACATTATTTGGAGCACTTCTAGTATAATATAACAGTATATAACAGTTTAGATGTCATTTTATCACAGTAAGTTTATAGAGCTATTTATTAATTCTTCAATTATTCTATTACACGTGCTGTATGTTTCTCTTGTGTTTGTTCCATGTGATCTGAAATGCTTTGGACAAAATATTCCTTTAGACCATAAACCTTTGTGGTACCCCAAAAGGACAGAAAGCTCAAATGGCTTAAAATCAACAATGCACCATCTTGAGTCAATTTAATATCCTTTTAAAAAAACATACATGGGGCAGAAAGGGATTTGTCTTCTATAGTAGTGAACAACATACAGTACATGTCATGTTATAAGTAGCATGTGAAAAACAAAAACATTATCGGCGCTGTCCCTTTTATTTACTGAAATGAACCTTTATTATAGAAGGCACAGAGGAAACATGCCTATCAGATGCTGAAACAAGATTATTTGACAGTTATCCTTTGAAATAACTTCTGAAAATGTGTCTAAAATTATGTGCAACTTAAAATATTGTGCCCCCCAAAAATTTTTGTTAAAAAAAAAATTAAAAGCAATGTTTACCGTACAGATGAGCAGACACAGGAGCGCCCCCTGGTGGGCGAGGGGTCCTAAGCAGCTGCACTCATACATGCCAGGCCAGCTCTGCTGATTGGTATTGTTACAAAAGGCTCAAACTGGTTTCTAAATAATTAAGGGCACAACTGCTAAAAACGACAACAACAGTGAACAGCACCAATTCAAACCAAAGCACCACAAGAAAAAAAAAAAAAACAGAACCACTGCAGCTAATTCCCATAAACAGCACAGACTGCATATAAAGAGATAGAGCAACTTCCTCTGTTTACAGTGAGATTATGTGACACAGATGCTTTCATCATTAATGTGTAAAGACTGCTGACTCTAGAGCACAGCTGACACTGCATGATGCCATCAGACCTGAGGCCTCTGAGTCTCAGCATTTCTAAAAATGCTCTATGCATGACAAAGAACCAGCTGAAACTGCATGTTTAAAAATGTGTCAGTGAAACTCCTGAATGACATCTGTAGTTCACAACTTTGGGTTGGGTGACATGTTTCTAATTCAGTAGCAGGGAAACAGTGATCTGCTGTGTCACGTGATCACCACTGTTTAAGAAGGAAAAAAGCTGAGTGAAACAGGAAAGGCCAGTTTGAGGAAACACATCTGCATTAAAGCATCATTTAGGCACTGTGCTGTGCTGCTGGTCATTTTTAGATGATTGGTTTGAAAATGCAGCATCACTGTGATGATTCATTAAAGCACCTATAATCCGTATATTTATAATAATGAATCACCTGACAATGGGAAAATGCTGTAGCAGTGTGGAAAGTGTAGCTTGTATTGATGAACCTAGAGAAAATGATCACCTGAAAATTGCAGCTCCCCTCCTTCACAGAGCCTTACACTGTTTCAGCTCATTCTCCGTCCCTTTACTGTCCTGGTTCACTCTCGCCACTCTCCGGCAACTGCTTTCAATGGAAAACCTGTAGGTCAGCACCATATTTTTACCACAAAGGTCTCCTCAGAAGTTGATAGAGACTGAAAACCAATAAAAAATGAAAGAAAAAAATCAGTTGCAGTTTCTATATGATCACACTGGGAGATGTGTTTAAATCTCACAGCAGAGTGGTTTCAGCAGCTATAAAAATGTCCAGGTCTGTGCCACTAAGAAATCAGATATTTTATGCATTTGTAAATCCATCCTCAGATTAATGCTCTGACTATGAGAAGCTGTTTGAAAGCAGTGCGGTTTTGAGGTCTCCACTCCTCCTCACTGGGCCTGCTCCTGCCAACTCGCTGTGTCTCACTGAATTTCAGCAAAGTTACTAGCACTGGCGAGTGAGTGAACAATAGCCATTCGCACTGAGGGTTTTCAGGTATTGACACTGAGCCAAGCTGTTAATGTTCCTTTGTGAAGACTTTATGTTCAAGTCTGCAGCCACAAAACAAAACATCCTATAATGTGAAAATGCCAGTGCTGGCTTTGCTCGCATTGCTAAAGGCATCGTCTCTATGGCAAGACTATGGCAGGTTCAATGCAGTGACAGATTTACAGTACAGCGTCCACAGAGACATCAAGTCAAATCACAACAAATACACAAGTCCTCTGACTGCTGACACTGTGTGCAAACCAGAGTCTCCCCATTCTTTAGCCGAATAACAGCGAGGACTTGCTGATTACGTTGATACGGAACAAAGCAATAGCAGAAAACAATGTGGTCAAGTAACAATTAGCAGATAACACAGAAACAAATCTTTCATTTCATAATATGATATTCCTTTTCATGAGCAAATATGTCAGGAAACTCATTTTCTTTACAAAGTGGATTTATAAAAAAAAACATAACTAAACAAATATCACCTGTTAACATACAGGTTTAAGAAAGTTAGGCCACTGAAGCAAAGACAAACTCTGAGAACTGCAACCAGTCCTACAGTCAAAATGATATATAGTAGCACCAAAATATTACAACGGAGTGATTTGGTCAGAGAGACAGAGAGAGAGGAGTCGTCCTACAAGAAGATGGGGGAAAGTTTCTCTCTCCTGCTGCCTCTCCAGGTTTCAGCAGCCCTCCCTCCAGTAGAATGTATGAGCTCGGCACAGAAAGAGACACCTGGTCTGAACTCTGGCAGAGAAAAACAAAAGGTCCCTTTTAGCACTTCTGGGACCGGGTGTTGGTCCGCCAGCGTCCACAGGTAGATCTCACACTCCTCGGAGAGAGGTAGCACGAGGGCTGCTGTTACAAGGCTCAGTGGGAGGGTTTCAGGCTTACTGTGTGAGTGTGGACAGTACCCAGAGATGGATGCTGTGAGTTTCATGGTGTCAGTGTCCCTGGCAGGTCTTGCAGCACATTTGTCTGAAATATGGCCGGCTGCAGAACTTGAACCTGAGCACCAGGGGGCAGTAAGCCACAGTGTTCACATCTTTACACTCTGTAAGGGAGACAAACATGAAATATGTTTTTATAGCAGATCTTTTAGAAAGACTTCTGAGTAGACTTTTGCCTTTACTATATTTTGAGTCAAAAAAAAATGTAGAATCGAATTTGATTTGATCACATTAGTTCATAATAATTTACTGAATGACTCAGAAATGAACTTTTTAAAGTCAAAATATTAATCTGAGCATGACCATTTAATTCAGTTACTCTTCATAATGTTTTCTATAAAATGTGAGGCTACGCTGACAAATTTTGACCTCTGACCTTCAGGGTTGTCTGTACTGATGGGCAGACTGACGGCACATTTGCTCTTGCACTGCTGCGTGGCTGCTGGCCGCTGATGGTCCAAACACTCACTGGATGGGTGGCTGGTGTGTGTCAGACATTTTACTGAACGCATCTCCTGACCCAAACCACACTTGGCAGAACACTGGTGCACAAAAACACACACAGCATTTGAACCCGGTATTGGATTTAAGTACTGTACAAAACAGACACTGATTTGTAAAAACAAAATTCCCACCATAACCACAAACAGAACCAAGAATAACCCAAAAACCTGACTTACCTCTCCCCAAGGACCTGTCACCCACTGAGGGGGAGGGCAGCGCTGCAGGTTACAGCGTACCCTGGAGGTGGGACGGCCCTGTTTGGGGCACCTGGACTCTGGCAGCGTGTCACCGCTCTCCCCGCTCTTACACAACACCACACGGTGCCTGTAGCCAGGGCCACAGCTGGGTGTACACTGTAGACAAAGTGGGAGATGATGAAAGAGGGAGAAAAAAAACAGAAAACACTGTCAGGAGGCCAGGGAGATGGAGGAACTGGGAGGGTGCAGCAGGGGGTCACTGCGGTCACAAGCATGCAAAAAGAAATCCTCTGGATCTACTCAGTAGAGGGCAGCAGCTGCAGTAGAAACAATGCCAACAGCCCGCTTAGTTACTGTGAATCAGTTGCATACACCTCTTCTCCTGACTGAAGATGCCAGAGAAAAGGCACTGCAGCGCTTCTGACACCATTCAATTTAGTTTCAATCCATCCTGAGCTGTGAGAACAAAGCTTAGATATGAGGAGAACAACCTTAGCCTGTTTAGCCTTAAGAGTCAACATGATGTATGTTAAAAGTGTAGTTTTACTGAATTACAGCTACTACAAGAGGAGGAAAATCTTCCTCAGACTGCTCAGACTCAGAGTCAATCCCCTGACCCACATTCCCAAATGACAAGTGTAACAGGTCATGACTGAAACAACATTTATTTGCTTCAAGCCTCTACTGTGTATTTCATGGTTAAGGTGCTCTTACTTTCTCCTGGCAAATCTTTGGGTTTGTAATGTTCATCTGGAAAACAAACTATTGCTTCATCTGAAAGGAATCCTGCAAGAAACTCAAGCACTGGTTCAATTGCAACTATGAATTGAATAAAAACATTGCAGGAGTGCATGCAGAACACATGCACAATGGGACACCTATGATGTCTGCCTACCTCTGACCAGTCCAGGGCCAGCCATTCAGGGGGGCAGCTGTGGTTGTGGCAGGGCTCCGTGAGTGAGGGGCGTGGGGCAGTGCAGGCGGAGTCGTCCAATACTTTCTCCTCTGTCACAGAGATCCTCCTTTTACACAAAACCTGCCGAGTCTGCAGGCCGCTGTTACAGCTGCGGCTGCACTCAGACCAATCTCCTGTCCACCAGCTAGAGGCAGAATGAACCCTTTTTGTAAGTCATTCATTTTTAATGCATTACATTAGGGCTGTAAGGATATCAGATTTTTACTACCTGATTATCATGGCCAGAAAAGGAATTCACAATAATTCTACTTTATTCTATTTTAGTTTCTTAAATGGTATGGGCATTCAACATTAGGTGAGAGAGAAACAGTACTTCGATTTTTCTGTATGTCCTGAATTGACAATAAAAATCATTGATTTGATCTTTGATAACGATATTATCATGATATTTATAGAAAAAAAAAATAAGTAGAAGTAAAGAAAAAGTTTAAAGCAAAGCTTCTCCTTCTCTGACATGGCACTAGAAAATCTAAACCAATGGTACACTGTACAGCAACTTAAAATGATAAATGGGAAGCAATAAAATGCACACAGGAAAGGTTCAGAGTCATCAAGAAACACATTCCACATTAAGAGATGACTCACTTTGGGGAGCATGGCTCAGTGTTGCAGGATCTTCTCTTCTCTTTGGGTTTGTTCTTCTTTTCACAGAAGTGGTTGCTGACGACCGAATGATCCGCCTGCTTCTTGCACACCACCTGCTGGTTCTGCGCGCCTGACGAGTGAGACCACCCAAGACAGATGTACAAGAGGGAAATATCAAAGGTCAGTAAGACATCATTGTTGATGATACAAATTCATTCTCAATATTAACTGTTATGAACTCTGTGCGGGGTAAAATGGACTATTAACAGATGTAGGGACACGGATCATTAACTAATAAAGGTCAAAGAGGAAAACCAATACCTCTGGACTCGAGAGGGACTTCACAAACATTCTAGGCCCATGGTGGCCTCTCTGGGTCAGCGCTAGTCTGCAGCAGGGATTTGTACTGTGTATTTTTATGGGCCACTGTATGTGTGTTAGCGCTTCTGTGTGTTTGTACGTCCATGTGAAAGCGAGACAGAAAGAGGGAGATTAAAAGAGTAGGAATGTCCACTTCTGTTCAGTTTCACTTTATTCACAATAAACACACGGGCCTGTTCTAATATTGTACTTTTAAGGGTTTTTTCAAAAATGAGTGTTATTTTGTTAAATATATACAAAAATCCTGGACCATAATACTTTAAACACAAAGATTCATGAACAAATTATTGTTATAACTTTAAAGGAATTTTGAGAAATTGTCTTTCTTAGATGACAAAACTGATACCACTTATCTGTATGAAATCTATGAAGCTAAGCTAGTTAGCTTAGCACCAAGACTGGAAGCTGGGAAATGACTGGTCTGGCTGTGCTTAAAAGGAATAAATCTTCAGACCTTGTCCCCATAGAGTAAACCATTCAATTTTAGGCTACGTGCATTTCCTTAATGTAAGTGTTAGATTTGGTGTTAGACACGAAGTGGGTAAGTTTAAGTTTAGGGTAACTGTTGAGGGAATTAAGTCAATGCAGTGTCTTCCTACATGACAACAGTTCGTTAGTGTGTTGTGCGTCTGGTCTACCTCCAGCGCAGAGAGCCGAGCATCGTGACCAGGAGGTGTAGTGCCAAGCGAAGCCGCCCACAGGATCTCTACTGACTGGGGGGTTGAAACGGTAGTGGATCCCTGGGTTCTCCTCCCTCACCAGCACCTACACATATATATGACCAAACCTTTAACACAACACAGTTATGAAACTTTTTGGGAATATTTTTGAAGGGGGATTTTAAGTCTGAAAAAGCACTGTCCATTCATACCATGACAATAAGACTTATGTTTGTTGGCCCTAGAGCTTCAAGAGTTTCTGGTCCATCGGTGGGCCGCCTGTAGTGGAAGGTGGTGCTGGCAATATCAAATCTGCGTGGCGTGTCAATAGTCAGCTTCCCATTGATAAAGTACTGGTCACCTTTACTCTTTAGCACTGCAGCACATGAGAAGGGGAAAGAAAACTGAAGGAAGACAGCAAAAGGAACCAATGAATGCAATAATGTCACTTAATTCATTTGCAGTATCATCTAATGAGGTATCCTGAGTGCTGACACAGAGTGAACAAACATTACTCTGTGTCAGCACTGAACATTACTCCAAGAGAGGACTGAGACATACAGTTTAAAGCATTTGATTTTTCTTTAAAACCGCCATCATGAGCATGTAGAGGCTAGTAAATACCAGGTGTGCATCATTCAAGCTGGAAGCAGGTGAAACTGTTACTTCGCATCTGAATCTACTGGATTTTACTTTTAGGGTACTGACTGCGATGAGGCTTTGCAGCCACATTGCCACCAGATTGTAGACACTTATGTAGTTGTTTTCACTGAGCAGGAAATATCATAGCTGTCAGAAATTCCTCATATCTCATAACTACAATAAGGAGGGTGATGTAAACCCTCCTTCTAACTTGGCTGCTCATGGTAAACCCTTTTCATAGAAGACATTTAGGCTTTTCATAGCTTGAATAGCGCAAATGAATCATGCGTCAGCTATGATCTTCTTCTTGTCAAACACTTGTTAAGGCGCCAAATTTCCTAAAAGGTTGGGAGTATTCCAGTAAAAGTTCAGGCATTCAAACAAGCCCATCTTACTGCCAAATATTGCATAAAAAGGTTATATAACCCTATTAGTTAGTAGAGTAACAGCTTTGTGGTCCCTGTCACAGGCTTCAGGAAGTTATACTAAACATTAGCTTCAGTGAATCATCTTACCAAGGTAGTTGAGGGAGATGTTGAGCTCATGTATGTGGATGAACACAGATCCTTTAGGAATTCTGACCACCTCTTCATAACCTGAGAGACATATAGACCCACATAAACTCATAAACATACATGGATGGATAGATTGATAAAATAAAAGCAAAGGAGCGGAGGTTTATTGACAGGGGATCAGAGAATTGACTCATAAGCAGCACTTAGGTCTGTGAGATGCTGATGGACTGAGCAGAGGCTTCAGATTCCAGCTGCATTCCTGTGCAGCTGGCCTCAACTGCTAGAGAACTGTGCCAAGAGCCGGCTTTTCCTCTCTCCTTTTCATTCCATCCATGTCATTTGGTTTCATCCCCTTTTCTTTTTACACTCATGTCCCCTCCACCCTGCCTCGCTCTGCTTTTCTCAGCTTTGCTCCAACCACTGCAGCCCTGTAAATAACTTGAGCCTCACTATAGGACAAAGAAGTAAGACATGGAGGGTTAAGATAATTCCTTCCAGTGGTTTGACCACAAGAGGAAAGGACAGGCTTGACCTCTCTGTGGAGCTTTGGGAGGCAGGAGTGACCCTGCTATGGGTTTCTAGATGGAGGTGTGGAAGATTAGAGGGGTTTGAGGTTTCTGGCCTCTGAGACAGACACAAAGAAAAAGTTCAAGAGTGAGGTTCTTTGGGTAACAATCAGGGGACCTGTGTGGTAAACAGAGAGCAAAGAAGCTATAATCCCCTGGCCCTCGACACTTCAGCAATCTCTCACCACCTAGCAGAGCTACAAGCTGGACAGATGGAAAGACACTTAAAGGGACATTACTGCATCTAAGCTGAGCCCACAGAGCAAGAATCAAATAACACAGCAGGTTTAAACTTAATCTTTCACTTTTCTGGGATGGAAGGAACTCCATTAGAACATCTATGTCATTTTATTCTTAATTTACAGTGTAGGCTCAATGGTTTATCTTGATCCCTGTGTGTCATAAGCATAATGTCATTATTTAATTACATAAAATATCAGAGTTGACTTAAGGTTTCTAAGGGTATTCTTCTGACATGCACATTGTTTTACTCGTGTTTGCTTTGCTGCCCTCCGCCCTGGGTGTGATATGATATGATTCCATTTACACATCTCAAAACACGACTAAACGAGCTACGCTTCAAGATCAGCATTACTAACAGAATTATTTGGGGCCAGTGATACTGTCAGATTTTCTGACGGAGGCTGAGACCCCAGCTGGGCTTGATAGATTGGTCTGGTCGCTGTGGTCCGGCGCATGGCTGCCTGTTCAGGGTGTGTCCCCTCTTGAAGGATCCTGGAAGGGGGTGAGCAGTGTGAACAGCTGGGAGAGAGACTCTAAAACTGGTGTCATGGGGAGAAATGTAACCCAGAATAGGCACGATGGCAGCCGGACCTCAAACCGCACTGGTCAGACCTCACCTAAATCTGTCTGCCATGTATCCCTGTGAGGCTGGAGGATAAATACTGTATATGTAAGCATATACAGTTTATGTATATACTGTATGTGTATATTTATGTGTGCTTTGTTATGCTCTAGGGAGTTTTCAAGGTTTTTTCTTGGTCCTTTTAGAGACCATACTGACTGAATAGACTCGCCTCACTGTATTTGTTTATTTATTTTCTGTAAAGTATTAGTGTAATCTTTATGTAGAGATGTGTGCACCATGGTAAATATCTTCAATACAACCCTACACAAACCCTATTTGATGGGTAGATATTTTTCCAAGGCTAATACTTTTCTAGTGGGATGTTGAAGGACTAGCAAGGAATAAATATACTGACTTTGGACGACATGGCTTGATGTAAACACAGTGATGGTTAAGATCTGTAAAGCCAACTTTAAATCTGGGCTGAACAAACTGTATATAGATCAGAAAACCCCAACACCCAAAACAAGTGCTGTAAAATATATAAATGACTGTTCTTGCAGTTACATGGGGTTTTATTGACTTTATCTAATAAATAACAGCATCAGTCTGCTGCTGTGAGGAGACTTAGCATGGGAACAAATAATTCATCTGTTACATTTTGAATACCTGGGGTATCCTACTGTAGTTTCCTTTCCAAGGCACTTTTCCAAGCTGCATTCACAATCCAAAGTATCAAAATCCAAAGGCTGGATTTGCACATTTTTTGGACATAAGAACAACTAGGATGCATAGATTCTCACGCTGAATGTTAACCTCACGTGACTCTTAGACGAGAGGAGCTAGTTCCAGCGCTGAAGTCAAAACGTGAATTCATCTTGACCACGGCTAGTCAATTGCCAGTTAATCAATGAGATGACTGGGAGCGTAAAAGAAGTGCTTGAGAGTTTGTTTCCTGTACCTCCTTCAGGCAGCGAGTCATTGAAGACTCCTTCCACAGACACACAGCTGCTCCCGTCACCCCCGCAGATCCGGCAGCGGTCCTCGCGAACGTCCGAGCCGAGGATGCGATCACAGCCTACGTGCTGCGAAAGGAAGAAATGAGTGAGCTGCGGGGTTACTCGGGGTCACGGGTGAAAGGGCACAGCCAGTGAGTCAAGAGGTGTCCGGGCTGAGGGATTACGTGTAATGTCTTCCAGACTGCTTTTCCCAAACATAGGAATATCAGATGGTAAGTCCAGATGTGTTTTCTGATCCCGTGTAGTCATAATGCTCTTAGGTTGCTAAATTCATAGCTGTCGACATAAATAAGTTTCATGATGAGCGAAGCAGATGGTTTTACTCAAACTCTTTTAACAGTGAACCAAATCTAAACAAAAGTGCAGCAAATGAATGGCAACTGCTCCCTCTCTCATATATTCATATGACAGTTGCTTATTGTAGATAGGGATAATGAGACTTCAGTTTATTATTACTTTTGCATTGATTAGATCCCAGTTCAAACTAAAACCAGAGCTAAAATTGTGATTCTTCCTTTGGTTATCTGGCTACTTTATAACATGGGTATTGGCGAGTAATAGAAATGGATCAAAATGATATTTTAGAGCTAAAAAGTTTTATTCACTATTAGTCAGTCAACAAAACGTTTACTGCTTCATTCATCAAGACAAATTGCCATGTCACACTTCTCAAATGTTAGGAGTTCATTGTCATATATTCTATTGTTCTAACTTGAATATCTTTGGCAACAACACATGCACAAAATGAGCAATGTAAAAATGTGCATTTTCTGATTTTAAACAATTAATTTATTAATTCAGAAAATATTCATGAAATTGTGAGTTGAAGCCCTATTTAATGTTTTCCCCATTTTTGTCATTTATAAAAATGGAAAATTGTCATAAATGCACCTACTTTACATTTGTTTTTTCCTAACTACATAACTAAATTAGCAGATAATACCCAGGTCTATCTTCACTACAAATTACTCAGCATCAAAGACTAACATGAATAAATCTACCTTTGTGTTTGGCTTAACAGAATTGGTACAGGGGGTTACCCAGCTGCAAACAAAAGAGCGTTTTGTCCACAGCATGTTTTAAGTTTCATGCATAAAGTACACAAGAGGTTAGATGAGAAAAAAAACTGAGATGAAGAGGACGCTCTGAGGACTGAAGAGAAAAGCCGAAAGAAAGAGGGAGGGAAGGAAAAACCAAGGGACATGGTAAGAAAATTGGAGGAATGCAGAGCTGTAGGGAGTCAGCAAGGAAAAGAGAGCGAGAGAGAGTAAGACTGCAGTGAATGAAAGCCAGCCTGCAGTGCAGACAGACTAACAGCTGAGCTGCAGGGTCACTGAGTTCCTACAGAGCAGGACAGCAGAGGAGAGGAGATGATGAAAGCCTAGAGAGGGGTAAACAAAATCCTTATTTTGGAGGAGCCCAGGATCTCCAGCCTCCCTCAGCTCATCAGTCTACCTAAAATACTTCAATTAAAGAGAGGACTGAAAAATAAAATCATATGGCGCTCTACAAACATGCAGACAGCAAGCTGTTGGTGTTCAGTTTTATTTGTCCTCACAACCTTTTCGCCATGTGCAAAGCTTCTACTTATTTGCTTCACCATTAGTTCATCCTTTAAAATCCCTTAACAAATGAGCCATGTGAGTGTCAAGATGGGCTCCAGGGACGTGTTGGGACTCCAGGTGGTCTCCATTTCATCACAGTGTACAACAGCTAGATGTTCTGTTTCCATTAAAGCCAGGATTAAGAGAGTGCATAGGTAATGAGAACCTAAGACTTCTGCCAAAGTTAAGACAGTTTTTCAGTTCAGCAGCTGATTGTGTTGATGGCCTGCAGTCTGTGTGTAAACTAGACAGTGGCGACTGTCCATGGTCTAGAAAGTGAGTATAAACAATGCCATCACAGCTGAAGACAGTCTTGTGTTGATTTTCTATTCTGCTGCTTCAGCTGAAACTGCAGCATACATACAATACAGCAGATCGCATGGATGCATAGAAACAAAGACATATATAAAATATTCTTATCTCACCTTACACTCCCCGTTCACACACACATCCAGCGAGTCATCTCTACAGAGTGTGCCGTCCACCACAGCTGGAGCACGCTCTGTGTAGAAATTGTAACCCTCGGCCAGGCAGTTGAGAGAGCAGGGCTTCACCCCACCTGGACACGCAGACACAATTCAATGTAGCATGTGATACAAAACAGTTAACTGTATGTTGTACTGGCATGTGTAACTGGTTGCAAGTCTCAGTTCTGCTGAATGTGTTACATCCTAAAGAGGGGTGCACAAAGAAAAGCTTTCTCAGTGCTGACAACTACAGAACAAGCAGCTGAATGTGATTAGCTTCCCTCAAATTTATGCAAACAGACACAAAACTAATGTTTTCCCTCAGTAAACACATACAAGCATACACAAACAGCAATCTAAACGGGTATAGCAGGACAGCGTCTAGAGTCCCATAATCAAATTGAAGCTTAACCCGGGGCTGCAGCTGTTAAAAATGTTAGAGAAAACTGCCCATCATAACTTCCCTGAGCCCAAAGTAACAGTAACTTATTTTGTACAACCAACAAAATGCAAAGATATTTATGTATCTACCACTACAAGTCTGGAACCAGCTAAGTTGTGAAAGACTGACAAACGCCAGTATGGCTAATCTACATGCACATCCTAGCTCAGTGTTTGTATTTTGTCAGAAGAAGCTTCACCATGTACAGGTTAAAAAAATATAGCTGCAGAGGACAGAGAAGAGGCTGGGCAGTGTGATCTGGCCTTAACACAGGGCAGAGTCTATGGCACTGCTCCTATTTTAACAGCTGCAAGGGATTTCCATTGTAAAATCAGCTGACTTGATGAAAGGAGCACTTGTTGCCTAAAGTTGGAACTGGCTAGCCAGCTACCTCTGTAAACCATTATGTTATTTAAGGTCTAGATTAAAGGCAGTTATGTCGTTGAAACAATTTATCTTTTGCGTCCAGTGTAGCGCTCATCAGGAGCAAGGAATTCTTGCAAGGCATTGTGGGATGCATGGCTCTCTGCAGCTTGCATCTGCAAACCAGACAGGAGGGAGTCTGCAGCTTTCTCCTCACTTCTAGATCCATATGTTCACTTATATTCTAGTCTTTCCTCCTAATTTCCCTACTCTATTTTCATGTCTAAAATCAACTTCTACACTTGATTTTTCTTTTGAGGTATGAAAGAATATGTGATGGCCTGTTAGTAGCTGGTATAGCCATGAGGCTTTGAGGTAATCAGATCCCCCTGACCTAAAAACTAATAGTTTTACCAGAACCACCTGTTCAGTGAAATTACAAGCTGGAAGGAGAAAGACACACAACCAATTGGATGTTAATACAAGTCGCACACAAACCTCCAGTTTAGAAAAACCTAAACGAAAGAGAATACCAAGGTGAACGGTACAGTTACCACCCAAACTGTCAGCTTTAAACTTCCATCACAGTTTACAAACAGACATTCAGGTTGAATCACTGAGTGGACACAGTTTTCCTATGTAGTGCAGTAGTTGTAGGTTATTAGTGATATTTCAGGTGTGTTCACTTGCAGTTTTACCTCCATATAAAGTGGTTGTTTACAGTGCTTGGGTTGTCCTGTTAGATGTATTTAGAGATCTACACAATTACTGTACTGACAGACAGATTTGAAGGTGTGTCAAAAAGTGAGGACCAGCTAGAATATCCTCACTCCCATGGCACACACACACACACACACACACACACCCCACAGGTTTACTCTCTCACCCCCTCTGTACGGCTTCCAGGTATAAAATTTCCCCCGGAATGGAACGCTGTCAAAGTTAGAGCACTGAATCTCCCGGAAATCCCGCGAGCCTGCAGGGCACTCCTGTAAAACACACATACATCCAAGCAAATTAAACCAAGTAACAATCATTATGATCGGGCTATTTATTGGTGAAGATGATGAGGAAGAAGAGCAGCGATACTCACGTCTATATTGCAGGACCTGAAGCGCTTTCTCTCCCCTAGACAATACTTTCCACCGATGGTTGGCCTAGAGCCAGACACAGAGTTTCAGGCCAGCCAGTCACATCTGAGTACAGTTAATAAGATCTAACTACACAGTGTTGGCTCCTGATCTCTGCTTTGTCTGCCTTCATCAACACGCTCTCAGTCTCACATCTGTCTCTTTTTATTGCTTTATTATTTGTCCCAAACCAACACGACAGCATTTTAAAAAAACAGACGTGAGAAGGAAACCGGAGTCAGCCACTGTCAAATGGCAGCTTCCACTAAACTTTCACCAAATTTAAACATACTGGAACCAAACAAACGTAAAACAATGGTGAAAAATTATACACGAGAACACCATTGGCCTCAAATTTGGGTCAGTTCATTCTTCATTTAACCAGTTCAAGATGAGGGATCTGGTGACTGTGATTCAAAACCAAGCCTGTTAGTTGTTTTGTGATGACTCAGACTCCTGTTTGAATAATTTCACAATCACAAAACATTGCTGTGACACTGTTGCCTGCAAGATGGTCCTGGAAATAAATCTCAGTCCAGTTGCTTTCTGCATTGAGTTGAATGTTCGTGCTCCAGTTGCCTCCCAAAGGTAAAACTGATTTTCTTGGTTCTGATTTACCACACTAACGTTTACTTTTCAATTTCTCAATCTTAGGCTCTGCTCTTTTTCTTCTGTAAACCTCACTGTTTAGAACTGATTGTGCTGGTTCTTCTGTGTTAATATGAGGTTGCACTGACATTTGTTACATAGGCTTTATTTCATTTTTAGTTGAATACCTCTAGAAAGTGTTTCAAACTGTTCATTTTAACACCCTTTATTTAATGTAGGGGGAAGCAGCTTCACACTTTGAAGGATAAATTCAAACAAAAGTTTGTTCAGAGTTCTGGGTGGCTGTGTCTCTTCCTGCTCTCCACACATGTAAGACCACATCACAATCCTTCTTCTGTACAAAAATGCTTTCAGAATTTCAGCTGAAGACAATATGAGGCTTCAGCGGTCTGAGTTAATAAAGTTATTGTATGAATTTCTCTCTTTGTGTTTCCATGGAAAGCATTTCAGTGGCAGGGGATGTTTCCTAGAAATTAAATGTAGGCTTGTCGCTGTGAAGGGATCAGCCAGGATGGACAAGAGGAACAATAAGAGCAACCAGTCAGTTCCTTCAGTGAGACAGTGGACATATTAGTAAAAAAATCATAAGCTATCCTGTAACATAATGTACTGTATTTGGCACAGTGTCATACCTGCAATGCACTGTAGGTAACTAACAAGAAATAAATGAACTGGCTAATTTCATTTTTAAGTTACTGAAAATTGAAGTCAGCTGAAGTAAGTTGGGTTTTGTAAGCTGATCCACTGAGCAGATGAGAAGAGTTTCCCACCACAGAAATGCTGCAGATGGGTCACAGTTCAAATATGTACCTGGGACTGTCGCAGTGTCTGACAGAAGAGGAGACTCCACCTCCACATGTCCTGCTGCACTCCTCCCAGGGTGACCACAACCCCCAGCCTCCATCCACACCCTCCGGATGAGTCCCATAAGCCACACACATCCTCTTGTAGCACCACTGCACCACATATGCAAATAAATGTACACACAGTTAGAGATACTGTACAAGTCAGTTATACACATACACTTCATCAGTTTAATTTTTACGAAAACCGCAAGAGCGGACTGGAATAGTAAACAAGCTGACCAATGGGCTGCAGGAAGCAAATATCACACTATCAATCATAATCTCAAAGGGATAACTAAACTAAAACAGAACATAAGAAAACTCACAACCACTAGAGCTGGTTCCTCTTACAAATATTTCTATTGGAAAACATGTCATCCAAACAAAACAACAGCCGAGATGAGTCAAGACGAGGAACCGGTCCCAGATGAACATAATCGAGCCCTAACTCACATCTCACCTACACTAGCAATAATCAACCTTTTAGTGGAACACGCACCACCATTAAACTTCAAAAGTAACTATCGAGAAAAAATATGTCTGCGTTCATTTTCAGTGTTTACTTACTCCTTTCTCTATGGTGTTGGTCTGACAGATGGTTCCCTCTGCAGCGGGAATGCTGGTGGTGATACAACGGTTGCTCTTACTCATGCACCAAAGTTCACTGCAGACTTCCTGTGTGTATGAGTGAAAGAAGAATAAAAACACAGGACAGAGAAAGAGAAATAAGAAAAAGAGAGACGTTGTCAGTGTTTTATATAGGGTTATTACAGACTTAAAAGGTGGATTCCTCTCCTGACTCCTCTCCTCTCCGTCTACAAGGACGTCTGTAACACATGGCGCTACAGTATGTTTTATTGTCTGCATATGCTCTGACCACACAGTACTGGTAATAATGAGTCTGTGAAGCAGTGTGCCGTTCCAGATGTTCATTTGCTCTGAGCCTGGGCCTGTAAAAATTGACCGTGCAATAAAGCGGATGCTATTCACATCTCAGTGGAGAGGCCGACTTGAAGAACGGAGCTCAAAGTACACAAATCAGAAGCAAGGTAATCATCTGACCCACTGATGATACCCTGGAAGGGCTGGTGAAGGGAGAAGCATGTGAAAATATACAATCTAACACAAAGTGTTGGGCTCTTACTGCATGAAAACATCTTGCAATGTAAAGAGGTTTCTTCATTAATACATGGCACAATTATTTCCTCACATTTTGCAGCAAATGCACTAAATACTAATAACAAAGTATGTAAGAAGACTATAAAATGAGGATTTAATCTATATCACCAGCTATCAGGGAGAGACAGCAGAGAGTACTTCAAGAGGAGAAAGAGATGAAGAGTCAAGTGGACAATGAATGAGAAGATGGAAAGTATAGGCTGAGCACTCACCGCATATTTACATTGTCGAGACCTGATGCCGTACTGGAAGCGGCACTGTTCGTCTGCATCATAGGCCTGACCAGGGGCTGTGGTGGGGTACACAAACTCCTGCTTGGGGGGGACATTGTTCAGACAGGAGCCCATACCTGAGCTAAAGCAAACCAAAAAGGCAGGAGAACACTGAAATTAAAACATACAATAAGTGGCAATGTTTCAAATCATTTGTTTTGAGAATTAAATATATCCAAAGAAAACTTTTTACTGAAACACTGAACAGGTAACAGATAATTACATTAAAGAGGATCTGCCTACTGTCAAGATCCATGTGTTGCAGGAAAGAGTCTCTAACAGTGAAAAACATTACATTGAGATTTAAGAGGATTTTTCCTTCTGAAACCTCTAATCACCAAATTATTTGAGCTGCTGCAGATATGTGATAGGCTGACTCACTCCAGGAAGCTGGTGATATAATCCCGGCTACAGGCGGACCAGATGAACGGGTTTGTCTTCATGGTGATGTGGTCAGCCATCAGCTTGGCCGTCTCCTGGCTGCGGGGGCCACAGGCATTACCCATACCGTCATGGTTCATCCCGAACCTAAAGCGCACGGCAATACAGTTAAGTCTTTAAGGCTATATGGATGATAAATAGCCCCTGCAGCAAGTTCTGTTCATTGGGACTCGAAGCCCTGTTGTTTTTTTATTTGATATCAAATCAGGACGTGGTTTACACCTTCAGGTGTCTTTTTAAACAGTGCAACCACAAACAGGCTCAATACCTTGATGCAGGTGTACAGTAAATGCTTAAATATCAAAATTGCAGCTGCTTCTAATTGATTTTGACAATTGCAGAATAGCTGTTCTTTAATGGTCCATCTTCAACATGACATAGTAAAGGGATATAAAGAAAGGACACAACATCCTGATAGTTTACCAAACTGGTTGATGTTTCACTGAGTTAATGGTCTGCTTGGTGGTTTTCTCCCCTGAACATTCATGTCAGGCAGTGATAACAATCACAGTAGCCATGTTTGAAACTGAAAGATAAATGTTGTTAAAGTCTTTCATCCCCTAGTTGAGTCATTTTTGTTTTGGTCTGTCTCGTCTTCCCATCTGTGTACCCTGCACCACAAAAGCCTGCGTTTAATCTACTGCTCCCCTATCATGTCAGAACAATTTATATGATAATTAAAAACAACTGGTGATTGTGTTGCATCAGCTTCGATATACACACAATCAGCACACTATGCCCTGTCCTGTTATGATGGTTAGACAGCCTCAGGGTCTGAGCACTCTACAGTTATTAGGGAGGCAGGACCCGGATGGAACCACCATCTGTCAATACTTCTCACTGTTGTTTTCAGTCTCTCAGTGTTGCTGCAGAAATAAACCGACTTGATGATGATGATGATGACAGAAATAAGGCTTATACAAAAATATAACTACTGATACACAGTGATGAAGACCAGCTATTACAGGCCAATCGGTAAAATGGTTTTCAAATCACCAGGGAGAGACAGGTATACATTGTACAATACAGCCACATCTCCAGGTGCTGGACCAACCCCACATGCAACTACAGAGCACTGCACACAGTGTTAGTTCTCCATGGCCCAAAGCGGCGGACAAACCATCTGACATTAAATTGACTTGTATTGATTAGAATAAGAGAGACATTTATAATTAAATGGATGTAATATATTAAAAATTGTTGTATTGCATGGGTGTGTTTCACTCACGTGTGTCCTATCTCATGGGCAATAGTGAAAGCCGTTCCCAGGCCGATATCCTCATTGATGCTGCAGCTCCTCTCTGGCTCACACATCCCTCCTACAGGAGCCAGGCCTGTCACACACACACACACACACACACACACACACACACACACACACACACACACACACACACAGTACATGAATATAAAACCCATCTATACTATAGAAAACATCTTGGACTCTCAACTTCTGGGAAAATAAAAGATGATATGCATCACATTCTCTGTGTAATTTAAAGATTGCATGTGTGCATGTAAGTATGTCATCATTATGAGGACTTATATGAGTTTTTGATTTGGAAAATGAGGACATTTTGGCGAGTCCTCACATGAGACAGGACCATCAAATGGCTATAGCTCAGCTTTAGGGGTGAGGGAATGCATTGTATTAGCAACTGTTTTCCTAAGTATATAAATACAAATGTGTTTGTGTGTCTGAGCGTGTGTTACCTAGGGTTTCACAGGGCTTGTTTTTTTGGATGCAGATGTCATATCTGCAGATGGAGAAAAAAAAAAATAAAGCAGGCTGTTTAAAATAAATACTAAGAAACTCACACTCACTCACACTATAATGGACACACAATACATCTACAGATGGTGACATACACACTCATGCAGATGGTGACATACACACTCATGCAGTGTGGACAGACAGCGGACAACAGCGATGGCAGACAGATATAGTTTTAAAAGAACAATAGCAGGAAATCTTGGATGGTCGCTGTGGTGTCATCTGTCTGGACAGCTTCCATCCTCGGCTTGATAATAACCGTCGAAGACCAAAATGTTCTCTCAAAGTCGCCACCATTACCACCGCCACATTAGTCAGTGTGTTGTACTTGTCTTACACCTCTTCTAACATGAGCTTAAAGCACATGCTGTTAGAAAGAATAGCAAAGTATTTGAAGCAGCTCTTCCCACAGTCCAATCACATTCAGATGAGTCTGACCAAACCATTGTTGTATTGTTTGCTGGACATTCCTCAGACAATAGCATCAGTGTTTTATCTGTTTAATATGCGTCTACCACAGTTGACTCTTTTCCTCCAGCAGTATCAGAATGGAGGCAGATAAATGAAGTGAAAAGTTTGAGTTTCAAGGTAGCTTTGCTTTGATTGCTGCAGTTTTTCTCATCCTCTCACAGTGTCTCTCCATTTCTTTGGGCTTCTTTTTGACAAAAAAAAAAAAAAAAAAGAATAAATGTGACGCTCACTCCTTCCTCATATCTCCCTTCTTTCTCCAGATGCTGAACTGGGCAGAGCAGGCCCAGCTACTGTCACGCCAGACAGGACAAGATACAGCCCAACTCTCTTGGACTTGGCTTAATGAAAGCCTGTGAGGAGAGGAGCTGGGAATGTAAGAATTCAGCTGAGAGGAAATGCTGTTTAACCCTTAAAGGTACAGCAAAACAGACAAAACATATTATTATTTACAACAGTGGCCTAGAGAAGTTGCATCAGGAGGTCAGGTTGTAGATATAAACCTATTACAGAGCTGTGTGCTACAGCCACACTTTGTGATGTCTGCCGCTGTGATATAAATAGTAACAATTTATTTTACAAGCCTGCAATTTTCTAATAATTTCCTGGAAAGTTTCAAGGAAGGGACGATGTATTTTGGCAACGTCACAGAGAAAACAGAGGCAACGTTCTGAGACAGTTATTTAAGTTCACTTGTGTTGAGTTTACGAGCAGATGCCGACTCCCTGCTCCATTCGAAGCCAAAAAATACTCACATAAAAAAAAGAAAAACTATTTATTGTATTATTGAATCCCAACTCTCCAGATATGTGGGCAAATTCCTCATTTTTGAACAGACTTAAAAACTCCCTAAGTTACACTGGAAAGTAACGGCCATGATTAATTGTAAGTATACACATTTTCTTTATACAGTAATTAATGCCAAATTACCTGGTCCTTTCCACGAACCTTCTTATGAATTTATAGTCACATATCAGTCAAAGGAAACTCTGGGGCCTATATAATAAATGGTTGTGATATACATTTTTAAAGCAAAAAAAAAGACAAACCCCTTTTGTGTTTTGGCCTAACAAACTAAATTCATTCTACGGTAGCTTTTATTCCTCTGAGGAAGGTTTAGCGGTCTGGCATCCTAACCTGGTGATAAGCACAGCGGTGTCATGGTGAGCGATGCCATTGTCTGGTATGGCGTTCCCATAGCTGCTTCGGTGCTGGATGGTTCTCTGCCATTTACAGAAGCTGTCTAAAGACTTCCCTGCATGGTGGTTGATCTCCAGTGTTGGCTGGATAAGATACAGGAGAGGAAACAGAGACTCAAAAGCACATTTGGAAAATAACATAATATATTTAAATCTGAAAACACAACAGAATAGAGATTTCAACTACAGTAATTTTTCATTTTTGCAATAACTAGATGATAGACCAACAATGCTATGATAACTCAGCCCCAGTGGTTAATATTTAAGGTATGCATTTCTCTAGTTTATCTTAAAAATTTTAAATTGCCATATGTGGAGATACATAGATTTTATGCCATACACGGTGAGACCACATTCCTAAAATTTGGATTCCAACTTTAAAAAAAATTTAAAACTTCCCTCCACTATATCAAAGAAACAAATATGGAGGAAGGATTAGAATGAACCGCGTTCTAGTATTGTGAGAGTGCAGAGAGGAGAAGGAGCGGAGGCTGGCCGCTGGCCACAGCTGGCAAGAACTTGTAACCCAGGAATTCATGTGGTGACATAACTAGTAATTGTCTCATCCCGCAGTCTCTCATTTCTGGGCCGACTGTTGGCCTGGTTTCCTTTCCAGAGGCAGCTTGGCGCTTTCAGACCTGGAAGCCAGCAACAAAACCATTCGCTGAGACGAATCTCAGTCCTGTTCCGACCTCGCTTCAACTGAATAAGAATATACCTCCTCATTCTGTCAGATGACAAACACACCCTAGTGGTAAATTATGGAGCTAATTTTGAGGCAGGATGAACAGTATGAATCATAAATGCTCCCTAATATGACAGCTGTGGAGGAAACCCTAACACCACACTGTAATCCCCCTTTAATTCAATGGGATTAATCTGTCAGATCATGAGATGATCAGCATTGTGGTGGAGCTGTCCCACATCGTCTCAACACATGCTGGCAATGGCAGGTTAATAAAGTCGTTTACTAGGTGGTTACATAGCTCTATCATCTAGTTATGTTGTTGTTGTTGTTGTTTGGCGCTATACGAATAAAAGTGAATTGAATTGAATTGAATCACCAAAGTCTGAAAGATTCATAATTTGGGGAACATGGTTTTCAGTGCAAACCTTCATGGGAATAATTCAAATACAGTATCTCAATTTGGACAAAAATGGCGGACCAGCTGACCGATTGACACCGTCATGCATAAAGAAAATATAAAATACCAGGGAATCTTGGGAACACATTCAGGTTTGTTCATGGTCTCTGGTAAAGCAGATTTAGACACAGATTTGTTTTACCTTAGTACTGAAGTGCTGCACAAGTCTGAAACCAACTTCAGCATTTTCTGAACCCTGGACATGCATCATAGCAGTGGTGAGAGATCACTGTTCATCGCAACAAGAAGCCGGACAGTCACAAAGCAGCTCTGTCTGACAATTACAAAACTCCCCTCGTTCCCTGACTTCTCCTCACCCATCTCCCTCGTCCTCTCCTCTTTACATCCTCCCGTCCCTTTCATTACAGCCGCCATTCAAAGTCCAGTGGGAGAGGTGTAGGAAAGGACACTTAAGCTAATGTTTTGACACAAACAGGGAGCTCATAGACACTGGTCAGGGAAGAGTTCTGTGCAGGCTGAACAGAAAAGTAATGAGGACAAGCACAATCAGACATAGAAAGTTTCATTTACCTGGTCTTCCATGAGCAGAATAAGCCGTGTCACAACAATGTTGACTGCATTCCCCAGGCTAGAATCCTGGAACAGTTTGGCAACCTGACCTCCAGGGAAACAAGAAAAGACCAGTCTTAAAAACAGTTGATAAACCAGTCAAACACATCACTCTAGAGCTGAGACAAGACTAAAACATGGGACTAATCCATTGTAAATAAAAGCAAGGAGAAACAGAAGAGGATTAAGAGGGGATCCCAGTTTTGAACCCATGCTGAAACTGTGGTAAAGCCATAACTGTACATGACAGGTGAGTTTGAGAGTCTTAAAAGAGCTGTAAAGTCACTGCATTACAAGTGGCAACGATTATTAAAGTATTAAAAACCAACAGTAATTAAAAAAAGGCCCAAAGCTAAAACCACTACTAGCACTTAAGTTGCACTCAGGCACTTTTCATTACTGGCCCACTTTACCCTCCACCACCAGAGAGACGATGCTGGGTGCTGTGATCTTTTAACATCATGGATACAGCCTGCTTCGTAACAGTAACAGCTGACCAACCCTTCATTGAATACATTCCTAACATGTGCAGTTGTAAAGTGATTAACTTTGTGATTCGTGATCCCCAGTGACAGAAACTGTGCAGATGATGACATACAACCTAAGCCTGTCTGAAGAGAACAGACAGCAAAAGGGTCAACGCGTTTGTTTTTCTTTCTGTCTCTAAAAATCAGCCATGTAAATATGCCCAAATCTAAGTCAATTTAATTTGGGATGTTTGACACATAAATGTACAAACAAGTTTATGTTTGACTAACGCTTGGCATTAGAGAAGCGCTGAAACATATTTCTGTCACTGCAGACATTTCTATTGCTTCCATCTTTGTCTATAATCTCTTCTAAAATGTTTCTTAGTTGACTCCAAGCTGCCAAGTAACCAAACCGTGACCATACTGTAGATTATTTTTTCTGAGCTTTCAGCGGCAAAGGGCACAAAAACAAACCATCATCTTCACCACATCCTCTCAGTCTGACGGTTTTACTGGGAAACTTGGCATGAAGCCTTTAATAATTCTGCCATGCATGACAGGTTTTATTAATCGAGAATAACGCCAATCAGAATCAGCTTTATTGGCCAGGTGTATAGGACACAAGGAATTGGACTCTGCTGCAGCAGCTCTCAATGTGCATGTACATATCCCCATGCAAGGCAACAACAAGGGGCAAGTAAACGATATACCAAGATAAGGCTGTGTTGTATAACAAGATAAGCAGTGTAACGCTTTTAAAGCAGTGTGCATGTACATCCTTTGTGTTGTGAAACTTACAATATTCATGACAGCCAGGATGTACTGCTCGATGTCCCTGCGACCATGGTAACCAACCATCATCTTGTCAGCTACCACCAGTGTTTCCACGTAGCGCTCTCGGCTAACTGAACGCTTCAGAGGCAGCTGGCCGCGACCGACATGATGGGGAGGAGTCTTCAGAGGCAGCTGGCCGCGACCGACCTGATGGGGAGGTGTCTTCAATGTCTGCTGCCACCATGACCAGCCCTTAATCGGCTTCTCATCTGAGGATGATCGCACACTCTGATATTTCAAACATAAATAAAAGCCACAATAGCACAGCAGTAGCTCAGCTGAATCTTTCACTGTACATTCAGCATTTGCTGAAACTTGCCAAGATATTGAAAACGATAAAACACTTTACCAAGCAACCAGAACGATGCCCAAGCACACTTTCCATGAATATAAAGCATAATCAAACAGCACAGCATTACAAAGTTGGATGCCATTTTTGATTATTTGTCAAATGATGATTTCTTTGAATGTTTTGGCTTTTTCAGCTGCACCTAGTCATAATTGATAACTCAGGCCCAGCCACAAGCTGGCTGCTACTGGGGCAGAATACTGCTCCAGTTTGGACATTATTACTGCTGTTAAAAGACCTGAATATCTCCCTTCTCACCAATGACTCCACAAGATTGGCCCTTGTACTGATAGCGGAGCGATGACCGCTTGTAAACCACATGGGGGCGCCCCTCTGCTCTCTCCTCCCTCTCTGTTCTGGTCTGGTTATCTGGTGAGACAAGGGGTTCAATCAGGTACTCCTCTCCCCCTGCAACAATCACCCCCTGCTGCAGAGAGAGAGATTTGTAGAACAGAACGGAGCAGATTAGAATAGGATGACACAAATATCACACACCTATACAAAGCAATGGTCCACAAGTTCACAAAGTTGTTCTAAACATTTTTATGCCATTATACGATTACTGATGGAGAAGAGCAAACAACAAATCAGCAGGATAAGTTAATGTGGGGCAGTGATGAACTGGAGACCCTCTGAATGATCCTGGTACTAACAGTTCAGAGAACTAACAGCTGCAGAGGAGATTTCACAGTCACCTCTGCCAGTGCAGCAGATTGTGACGTCCATATTTAGTTTGTTATCGTGGTCGTCCTTCATTTATGATCACTGCCCACTTGTTTTTTAAGAGGCAACATTTGTCAGTATTGATCAGAGGGGCAGTGTGTTTCCTCAGTACAAAGACTGTCCCTCTCTTAGAACTCTCTGAGGATGGACTGTGGACTCATGTGAGAAGAGTATCAGGACCCCACAGAACAAACACACACATACATAGTGACAAACACACATAAGAACATGAAAGAGTGAATGACTGAGAGAAAAACGACACAAATTTTAATACACTAGCATTTCCTGACTGATTCTGCTCCGATGTGTTGGCCCCTGTCAGAGCAACTCACTGCGGCAGCTTTTAAAGTGCCTTTAATCCTATAAAACCATTTGTATCATATTTGATACGTGAGGTTTCTGAGCAAAAAAAAAAAAAAAAAAAATCACCAAAAATACCCCATGTATCAAATGTGATACAAAAGAAATAGAAATAATCTAAATAATATGGGGCCTCTATTCCTATATGCCTCTGGACTGTCTGTCTATGCATATATGGCAAATAAAAATCGTGAATCTTGAATTTTGAATCATGAATTTTATTTTGGATTTTGTTAAAAGGTTTAATAAACATCTCAGTTCCAAAAAATCAGAATGTTCTGGCTATTTTTTGATATGTTGGGCTTTTTAATCTCATAATAAGGTTATTGAAGCTGGTCTGGACACACAGCCCACTCACTGATAAACGTGCTCACGCTGGTTTGACCAACAGTAATTACATGTGCTGCTTATTAACGCTTTGTGAACACATCTAATCCTCAGCTGTGTATACAACTGTTACTGTTGGGTCTGAGGGATCCACAGACACATGGGGCTGTGAATGCAGGAAAATGATGCGCCAACAAAAACGATGCATCTATTCAGAAGAGCCAGTCACACAAATGCCAGTCCCCTATTGTGATGTGCTAAGGATGACTTCCGGAGAATGAAAAGTAAGTGAAATGGAACTTATGCTGTACTAAGGACTGAACAAGCCCACTCCAGCTTCAGTTCATAACCTCCTACATTTCCCAGGCTGCCCTTGAATGCAGAACTTGCTTGAATTGTGTTAAAGGAGGTACTTGCTGGATTGTCAGACAGTGCTTGAATGCCGCTCCCCCCACACTTTTCCCACAAGTCACAAATCTTACATTAATGTGTCTGACTGGGCCAGATACAGAATTGATTTAAAAGATAATTGCAGTTAAGGGGTGGAACCAATGAAGAGCTTGCAGGTGCACACCTGGCTTGCATTGAGATTGGTCAGAAGATGAAAAATGTCTTCAGTTTTTGAAATGTGTAAAAATGTTTTACTTTGCTGCTTACAGACCTAGATTGCCCGTGCTTTGCACACCGATTATTGTATTCAGAAGCTAAGTGTCTCTTTTAGGATGCACCCTTCCTTTGAGATTAGGTTTAATCATTCCTGAAATTTCATGCTAGGTCATTTTCATTTCTGAGGACCATAATGGTTGATTTGGCCAAAGACTACGGTTGACTTTAGGACTCAAGTTTTGTTAACATTTCATGTTTTAATAATTTAGTTGCTGAGTCCACACCGTTGCTGCTAACTTCAGTCATTATATTAGCTGTGGTTTAGACAGGGAGCTTTCAATCTTACCAGGCCATTACAGTCACTCAGGGCCACCTTGCTGGAGTGTGGCTGGTCTTGGAGGTGTCCTACGTAGTGGCAGTGGGGAGAGTAAGGGTGACTCCAGGCTAATCGACCCCTCTTCCAGTACTCCACTCTGAACTGCCGGGATAGCAGGCCTCCCTGCAGCGTCAGGGTCAGCAGGCAGGTGTTACGGGATGTGGGTAGAAGATCTTTGAGACAAAGAGACTTCAGTTCATAAATGCTCTTGGTTTAAAATGTTAAGTATTTTAGTCATTTAAAGTTGTGTGTATAAAAAAAATAAAAAAATAAAGGTAAACAAATTCAAAAAGCATAATACAGAGTCGGGCAGCCTTTCTTCAGTGCTGCGTCTTCTTCGGTGGTGCTGAGGCGTTTGTGTGTCCAGCGTCTCGCCATTAGGCCCTACACGTACTGGGATGGCAACCTCATACTGGCCTAGACTGGACAGGAAAACAGCTAAAGAGAGAGAAAGAAAGAGAGAGAGAAAGAAGGCAAAAACCCTCAAGAACAGTTTAATTTAATAAAACCAAAATTCATCTTCATTCAGTTGACTCTAAAAACAGATGAGGATTTGAGAGTCGCTTATTTTGAATAATGCTACGGGGGTTTATTGAGTGAGTAACCCACATGGCAAAAAATAAATCTGTAGATCTTTTGGCCCATTGCTGAAGAAGCCCCTCTACTCCAAGTACAGCCCCCCCTCCCCCCAATGAGGCCAAAGGGATGTTGCCATGGTTACTTTGAAACTGTATACTTCCTGTCTGCTCCAGTCTGTGCCAGGGCCTGTTGGAGATTTATTGTCCAAACACACACAACCCCAAACAGCTATCGTTAGCTAACTGACAGGGAAAGGTCACTAGCAAAGTCCAGTAGAGAAGAAGCTCATTCCCACACAGAATAAATACCCAGAGATAGGCAGTGATGGGCAGACATGGGAAGTTTGGTACAACATACTGAAGTGGTTTCAGTCTTTGGATCAAAAATGGACTGTGTCTTGGTCTGTTTTTAAAAATGATGAATGAGTGAGCGTTTTTTTTTTTCCCCCAATTTCAATTTTATGTTTGATTCTCTGCCATCATGTATAACATTACAGTTATACAGTGAGGTTAACACACTGCCAAGGGTTCGAAGAGTGAAGGCCCGTCTACATTTTTATTTTTCCATCAACTAGCTTGTGTTTGCCTTTCATTATTCACAGAAGCGCTCATGTAACATATAAAAGGAAGGCTGCTGGAGATCGGATATTTAATGTTTTAGTATTAGTTAAATTAGTTACAACCAGAAAATATGAACCATCATTAGCAGGCCTTTGGAGTAGTGTTTCTGACATGTAAAACCTAATATACTGTCTTCCTTTAGCTGTTTTGGTCTAAACCAGCTCCTGAAAAAAAAAATTCTTTAGCTTTAGCCTTCAACATTAGGGGATTATGTTAACAAACTGGTAATTTGAGATTTGGCACTGGCCAGACACCGCTGTTTAATCAGGGATGTGAGGGCTTTTTAAATAGTTTTAACACAAATTTAATTCAATATTAATCATATTAGATTAATGAAACAGTTTACTTTAGGAAATGTTTGAAAATTGTTAGAAAAAACTATCTGAACTAATTAAAACAGAACAAAACTCTGTTTAAAACTATTTAAAGTTGTAAAACTCCCTCAAAAGCAATAAGAATTCAGAGCTGTTTCCCATAACACATCAACTCTACTTTCATAAAGCACAGCAAGTGATCAGGTAGGCTGTGTTCTCCTGGTGACAAAATGAAGGGAGGGTGTTAATAAAGCAGATGGAAGAAATTAATGGGACCTCACACAAAAAATACTGTACAGTAATGAAAACCAGATTATAGTCTGCAGTTGGAACAAAGGGTTTAAGCAGAGTTTTTTTTTAAAAGCCACTTAAGACTCCTTGCCGCAGGATTTCCAACTAGTTCCTCTTGCAGCCACTGATAATGTGACTGGTACAGCTACATGCATGCTTGTTTTCTAATATAAAATCCCTCCTCACTGCATCAGAGCAAATGTATCAGTTCTTTTACTGCCATCTAGTTAAACTGCTTCTGATAAGATGAACAAGAAATGTATTTTGAGTTTTTACATCTGCTTTCTATCACTTCCATTCATGTCAAGGAGCATTCCTGTTCATGCACATGTAACTTTGGGACGTCACCTGGGGCCACCTGATAAATCTGAACTAGTGCTTGACAGGAAGCAAACAAAATACAACATATGTTTTGCACCACTTCCTGCAGAAACACATTCTGCCCTGTCTTCTTGAGTCAACCCTGACCTTATAACTGGCAGCAGACTGAAACCATAACAACCCTGTAGGAGCTGATTCAACAGTAAAAAAGCAAACAGAGATTGAGAATGGAAACATGTTTACTAAATTTGACAGGAGCCACCACCTATAGAAGCTGATGAATACACCCATTCACCCTGGACCTGTTATCAGTAGATGGAAATATTCTGGATGGAAAAGTGTTCCTCCCTCCATCCCAGACACATCTCCATGGTCCCTCTGGCCAAAGACCGCAACTGTCTGTTCTACTAGAAGAGCAAAAGATAATTTAGTGTATACTACTAGAGAGAGAAACGGTTCATTGGTCATGATTTGAGTAATAAGGCTAGAGCTGACTTATCAGAGCCGGCTCATCAAGACCCGTGATTGGCTTACACACTCAGTATCTGTAATTTCATTTGCAGCAAGATTTGAAAATTGAGTCTCTCACTTGGTGTTCTGATGAAGGGTTAAAACAATGTCTAGCACCAAGGGCTCTGCTGCAAGCTAGTAACACCACACTGACACCATCTTGTGCAGATTTGTCTTTTTTGTGAGTGATCAAGGTATGGAAGATAAACAATGTGCTTTATGGTGCAGTGGAAACACAACTGTACTGACTTGGGAGCAGCTCAGCACCCGCTCCGCCGGGATGGCCCATGCAGATGGAAGACAACATGAGGGAGGCCGCCACTTCAACATTTGTCAATTTAATCAGTTCAGTTCTCTTCAGTTACTCATTTACTGTTGTTCTTGTACTTTCAAAGACTGTGGTGCACATGGGAAGGCAACTTATAAGTACTTTGCAGTCTTTAAAACTGTATGTGACAAAAGGAAAGCTGGACACTGGCCAAAATCATGTTGCTATGGGAGATGTGAGCAGCTGCAAAAATGAGGACTGTGCCACGCGAAATCTAAATAATGGAAATCTTAGTGCTACCATGATACAATGAGATTTCTAACAATAACGTACTTTACTTCCAACAGTGTGGCAACAGTTTGGGTGAGGCCCTTTCCTGTTTAAGAACATTTAAAAGCAGTCCTCCCAGTTTGATGTAGCAGACTTTGACTGACCTCAACCACTCTGCCTTTTGAATGAACCAAAACTAAAAGCCAGGTCTTATTTCCCCAAATCAGTGGCCAAACTTACTCATCCTTTTGTGGCTAAATGGGAGCAAATCCCTAGAGCCAGGTGCCAAAGTCTTGTCGAAAGCCTTTCCAGACAGAGTGGAGGCTGTTAATACCCCTGCTTTCCAACCACATATCAGAGTGAGGTTCAAGTGTCTGTATACTTTCAACCATGTAGTATACATAGACATAGGACAGCTAAGACAGCTACAATAGTTCACTTATAGCTGGGCCTCAAAACACTTTCATCCTTACTGACCAATGATCTCAGTCTCATTTTAGTCAATTAAAGTATAAATAATATATATATAATACATTCTGTGTACCTATAGAAATGACTTCATGCCATGATCATGATCGCTTATGTAATTAACATTTAGCTGCTGCTACGTATTTCACACAGGGACAAACAAAATATACTGCACACAGTTGGACACCAAGTGAACCAGAGAGAAAGATTTTCTCATTATGGCATTTGATAATGTAAGACATTTAATCAAGGAGGAATCAAAGGGGTTATCACTGGTATTAAGCTATTAGCCAAGGCCTGAACAAGAGTCAAGTCCAGAGCGGAGAGAACAAGACACAGAAACGGGGGGGTTAAAAAAATTAAATACTGTAGTGCTAAGATTTTACTTGTTTTGTAAATTTGATATTATGTGTACGGAGCCTGCTTTGTTCTTTTGTTACTGCCTTTAGAATAACAGCATGCACTCCAGCATCGTATGCTTGGGGCTGATAAGCATACTCCGACACGGGGAGGATGCAGTAGGCAGCAAGAAATCAGAAGAAAACAGTTCTGTGGTGACTAAGATATCAGATCACTCTCCCTTTAGCCCTCAGTGCTCTGCTCACCAGCTAGTTACTAACTGTGTCTGCCTGTCATTTGGTGCTTGGTAGGCAGTGTACAATGGGCGTTTGGAGCCTCCCCACTGGAAAAAAGCTGCTGCTGCTGGAAACAAGGTTGATGAGGGCAGAGCAGTGGGCCAGAAAAACAAAACAATGAACTAAAAAAGGCTAAATTGCCTGGCATATCTGAGAGGAACTACAGACTTGGGAGATGATTCTCTGCAACACTTTCCTACACCACATGTAGTAATTGAACCATTTATAATATAAAAATATTAATTAGTGCAGCTAAAAGCCTTTAAAAGTATAAATGTCTATATGTCCTTAAGTCCCTGGGGGAGTCAGTGATGTCACGGTTTGAAAAGTGTGTAATTTAAAGGAAGCAGCATGGCAGACTATTGGAGACAGAGAACTGTGAGGGGTCAGAGTTTAAGTTTAGGACATACACAATCACAGCCTTGTTCTAGGTGATGAGACATGGATACTCAGAGAATTTATGTCTTTGCCTACAGGGGATTTCAGTCATTTAAGCTTCAGTGTGTACGTGACAGAGACGGAGACACTGTGTGGTGAGAGGTGAGGGGGGTAGGCTTGTGGCTGTGCAGCAGCAACGTGTTTTGTAGACTTGCAGTTCAGCAGTCGAGACCTGGAGGCATGGAGTGTGCCTCTGCTGGTTAGACAGCCGGATCAGACCTGAAACATTTTCCGCAACTCATTTCACCCAACTTTTTCTCATCTGAGCACAGTGCATGTGAATGATAAATAAAAACAATTGCAGTAACTATGGAACACATGGTGACCCTTAAATAAAACTAAACTATAATCCTGTATTCATAATAAATACTGATTAAAAAACAGATATAAGCCAGGGCACCTTGACCATAAAATACATTATGGTCAAAGTTTAAAAATAATTAAAGCAACCCACAGCATAAAGCCAGGGCCAGACAGTAAATCAGTGATGTTTACCCTCTATTTATCATGAGCTCAAAGAATAAGTACTGTGCTGTTAATATTAATTCAGATCTAGATCTCTAAAACTCTTTTTATATACTGTATATATGTGTGTGTGTGTGTGTATTTTGATTAGTTTGTGTAATTTAATAACATATTTTTCCTCAGTAACTGTAACTGACTACAAATATATTTAATTTAATTACTCCCTAACGCTGCATGTGCATTCAGTCCAGACTTGTGTTTAAAGAGTTAATATAAATAAAACTAAGTCCAACATAGTAAGGTTGACATTGCTGCAGCTTGTCAACCTCAGGAAAGAGGCCAGGGTGCTCATTCAGACATGAAGCCGACACGTTCGGATGCTGCGGTCAGATTAATGCAGAGGGTTTAACTAAAAGTAATCATGCATTGCTGTCCTAATCTTCACCTCTCACCTTGTGATTGAGAAAACTCATCTCTGTGACCTCCTGCGACCTCGGTGGCAGCCATGATGACGATGACAGTGCAGACCAGAGCAGTCCTCCGCAGCGTTTCCATGGTTACTACAGTAGTTGCTATAGTAACAGAATTCAGTGCAGTTATCCTCAGACCACTGTCCCAACATGTCTCCTGCCCTCTCAGGTGCCCTGTCACCTAGCAGTGGGACAGCTTTGCGCTCTGTTGGGCCATGGCTGCAGGAAGAGCTGAGTTCAAACAGACATGGCAGACTCTACAGTGTGTCAGTCAGCAAGGGGTGATGAAGCCTGGAGAAGTCCTCACAGAAATAGACAAACCCTTGATGGATTTCCCAAGGAGATCAGCAGCAATGGCAGGTTTAGACTTCTCTCTGCAGCCCTGTAGAAGAGAGCCTGTTTAGTGTCTGCAAGAGGAAGGCCAGGCAAGGGAGTGAGAGGGAGGGCAGAGACAGATTTAGGTTCAAAGAGGAGGGAAGAACAAGAGAGCATGAGATCCCACTAACCCATGCAGTTCCCAGTCTAGCAAGACAAATCTACCCAGGTCATATTCAGCCTCCAGTGCAGGGCTGTCCAGTTCAGAATTGCTCACTCAGCTTTATCAATCTTTGCTTTGGCAAAGGGAAAACACTCTGACGACCAGAGACAACAGCAGGCCCCAACCCGGGGCCCCTGGGGGCCCCCACTCCTTAAGGTGCCTGCCCACCAAAAGAGTTCAAACACAACACAAAGGAAGCCATTGATCTTGTAAAAAGCTGTGCTTGCCCAAACAGGGCTTGAAGTGGATATTATGTCAGAGGCTCTGGGGGTAAAACGAGCCAATTTGAGAGGAGCAGCAGGATGCCATCACTGCTACAGCAGCTGCCTGTGGCGGCTGGTTGTATAATTGTACAGCATACTAATTGGCTGGCAAAGTGACGCTAACACTGCCTGTATGAACCATATTTACATCTGAGACAAAGGCAGGAGTGCTGCAACAACCATAGCCTAACCAACACTGGGTTTGTGAGGCCAGTAGTGACAAACTAAAACTGAACATTATTACCTTCATGAAGGTGCTGGAGGACTGTTGTATACGACTGCATTAGTTTTAGCTAAATGTCCCTCATAAACAGGCAATTAGATATAGGGATCAGTGATTTCAGTGGCTGGACTTTTTATTTCAGCAAAGCAAGACATAAAAGAGGGCAGTATTAAGACAGACATCAGTGGTGCCTCGCTTTTTTGGGAGGAAGAGTTGCCTATCTTCTGCTTAGTACTACAAACGCCAATGCAATTCAAAGATTTCTCAGTCAGAAGATGTTAATTGCTGTTTCTCGGCACCAGAAATAGCTGGGAAAACTGTTACTGTCTTTTTCAACAGCCAAAAAGAAAATGAAATTTGTGTGACATCCACCGGATGGTGATAATTTAGAGGTAACAGTTCAGCCAACTAGACATGACAGGTTTAAACCTTGGGTCTCTTGTTCATTTTCCAGACTACTAATTTAACTATCCAGGGCTATAAATAAACCCATGTTCCTTTTTAATTGAGCAGTATTCAGTTTTAAAGACCAACACAGAGCAAGTCTGCTGTATAATAACAACATAAAATGACTTCCTCATACCCACAAAACCCATTATAAAAACAGACCAGAGCCAGGACCAGGAGTAACATTTTCATGGGTGCCCTTCTCTTTGACTTGATTTTCCTGGCTTTGAATTGCAGTGCCAGCTAAAAACCAACCCTTGCTATCGTCCAGTAATGTCTGCCTACCCAGTTCACTCATGCCCTTCCCTCTCCTCCATCCCCTTCACCCCTTTCTCAGAGCCGTCTGAGGAGGCGAGAGTGAGCGGAGACACCACACTGGCCCAGATGGCTGGCGGCTAACCAACTGCAGCCAAAGGTAATCGGAAGCAGATGAGAAACCTTTTGGTGATGAGAGCAGGGGGAACAAGTTGCCTCCTGAAGAGAGGAGGGAAAAACGAGTGTAAAGCCCAAGTGGAATGAAAGAGAAGCATGTAAGCTGTTTGAGCCAGCTGGGAGAGGCATTGCTGAGTGTTCATACCCTGAACTGAGTGTGTAGGAAGGAGTTGAAAAGAGCCCTAATGTGCCTCAAATTTTATTTCATACTGCAATGGGTAGGTACAGTAAAAGGAGAACTTAATCAAAAACACTGAGGGGTCTTTGTAGTCTTACAGCTTCCCTTATAAGTGGAACAACTGAAAGTGCTTCTCTTTCCCGTCCCTTAGGTTTTCCCAGTCATTTCCTGCACAAGCCAAACTCCCCTCCATTTTCATTACTTTTGCTCCCGCGCTCAATTTACTGTGGGGTTATTAAGCTTGATATCAAGTGCTTTTCATTACCACTAACTCTCCCTTGTTTATTTAAGTAAGGGAACAAGGGGCTAACTGGAACCTCCCCCACCCCCCACCCAGTGCTGTCCCTGGGCGCTTTTTAAGTAAAGCTGCTTAAAAAGATTTGTGGACAGCCTTCAAAGGATCCCCACAACATGCATTCACTGCCTTACTGGTAAATTATCGCTCTATTATAAACTGTGCAGAAATGCAGTTAAATTAAGAATAAACTGTCCCTCAGAGGTGATGGTGTCATACATCTTCCATGGTCTGCTGTGTAAAACTTTCCCTCTGGGCTGTATCACTTTTGCAAAATAAAAAACACATGTTTGTCAGCAGGCCAAGTGAGCAAACACACAGGCTCTCTAGTGAGCACTTTGCTCGAATGAACTAGGGAATATCGAGCATATAGCTGCAATCACAGCCAGAAAGTGGTCCGAGCTGCAGACAGTCCGCAAAATTTCCAATGCAATCACAATTAGCAAAAAAAGAAAAGAAAGAGGTCGTTGTAACAACAAGAGAGAGAAAAGTTGGACCATTCAGGATAATTTGATGGAAATATCTGCAATGTAATCAAGCCAGTGGACCCTGAACCATTTTGACACAGCATTTTTTCATCTTGTCAGCCATTAGTGAGCTTTGTGCTTTTCATATGTTCTAAAGGATGTATAGTGGAGCTAACTATGTTGTCCTTGTCTTTAACTGTTGCCAAGAAAAGAATTACCCAAAAACTAGCACACTAATCAAAGCCATATGACCGGCTCAAAGTAAAGTCTGTGTGGAGCGAACAGATGCTAAGTGTCCCTCAGCTTGGCTTCAAGTGCTGCACTCCCCAGCTCTGTCTCTCTCTCTCTCTCACCGCTTTGATCAGGGAGTAACTCATGAATCAGCTTTAGGCTCAATTTGTTATATAATTAAACTGACGGTGCAGCTTTTCTTTACTAACAAGATCATGAGGCTCTGGGCCCAAAAGATGAACATCACAAATCCGATGCAGCATTCACTGTAAGTCTGCCTCAGAAGGGAAAGGAAAGAGATTCACAGAGATCTCCATGTGAAACCCTGGTAATAATACAAAAAGCCAGGGGATATTGTATATCTCAGACTGAACTCTGTCTGATGCAAAGACAGAGAGAGGAGAAAGGCACACATTCCTTTCTCGATTTCCCCCAAATAAACAAAGTGCAGATGAAAAGTGGGAACATAAACAGGCCAAAGAACCTCGGATGTACTCCCCTAACTCTGAAAATGTGCCTCTCAAGTCTGAAACAATATTTGGTGGGTGAGAGAGAGATTGAGAGCGAGAGAGCTGACTCGACACAAAGTGAATCAGCCAGCAGCACTGGAAACAGAGCACAGATGGTAGTGGAAGGTTTTCTCTTTCTGTTTTTTATCACGGTCATTTCTGTGTAGTTTTTAATCTGCTTTAGGGCAGCCAACAGCCCAAAATACTCGTAAAAAAATTCCTTTACTATTACATCAGACAAAGAAAAGTAGCAAATACTCACATTTGAGAAGCTGAAACTATGACTGCTGGGCATAAAATTACTTGAATGAAAGTTATTGTCAAAATAGCTGCCAATAAACTTTGTCAGTTGGAATCTACTTCTGTAATCCATCTTTATCTCTCTTTTTATCTGGCCTTAGATGACAAGAAATACTATTTTGCAGAGCACTGGTGCAATGCAAAGGAACAGTGTGGGTTGAGGAAAAAGCGTGCAATATTACAAATGCATCGATCTGATATGTTGAATATGTACCGGCACAATTAATATGTCACCCAGGGTGGCAGACATGATATGGCCGATCCAGTTTAAATACGGGTACAATGAAATTCAGTGTTTCAGTTATCAACATTCAATAACTCACTTTGAGTCAGTTTTTAGTGTCTAATGTTACCTGATAAAAACAACCTAAAGTAGTTCCATGATATGTCTGTCGCCTGCAGACGTGCATTCTTATTAATGGCATTTGTTATCTCCGTATAGTAAAATGATGTGTAGAAAAAACTGTTACCAACAACATCAACAGAATGACATTGCACAGGTATCAAGAATGCAAGACATCAAGCTGCAGATTTCTGCAAAGTCAGCAGATGAAATGACTTATCTATCATTTCTGCTGGTCAGTGAGGGACCACAGATTTTCATGCATATGCACAGGCTACCTATCATCCAGCTGGCTGCAACACATTTGTGAGTGTAAAAACACAGTGTTAACATTATGGAGGCATTTTATCAATATCCTTAGTGCCTCTGTGATGCATTATAAAGCCTTGAGTTTTGTTCACCTTGTGCCACTCTTCACTAATGTACCTGGTGCCTGTTGCGCCCCCCCACACGCACGCATGCATGCATGCACGCACGCATGCACGCACGCGCACGCAGAGACTGCCCTGTCATCAAGCAATGGGGAGGTCCCAACCTTAAGTAAAAGCTCTTGAGGAGAAGAGAATAGTAGGATAATACAATGATAGATTTTAGGAGGAAATACGAGGTGCATGTCAAATACGAGGTGCGATATGGGCGACACTCAATCTCTGCAGAAATGTTTCAAAAGAAATTAACATGCAAGAGTTGAGGACAGCCTCTTGGCAGCATCATGACAGCGCCGATTTCTTCCAGAGTTGTGCATGAACAGGCAGAAAGCGCGGCCGTGCTCGGTGACCTACCTTCCCGTGTCCCCTTGCAGAAGTTACCACTGTGAGTCTGTCCTCAGCAGCGGAGCGGAGAGGAGGCGGCACCGGTGGGTGACTGAGGACACTCGACGTCTTCTCTGCTTCCACCACCACACATTGTAGTGCAGTTAAGTTACCTTAACTATCAATATTGAACTTCCGGCTAAGGAATTCAAAATAAAAGTCGCATTGTTTTGAAATTTGGATGCAGATTTCAGTTCAGTTCACTTATTATTACATTGAATATAATTTATTTTACTTCGTGCAATGCCTAAAACATTAGTGTACGTGTTTCATTTGTGCAAAATAGCCAGTTAGATATTTGTCCTTCAACAATTAACCTATTGCAGCTGTCACATTTTCTTTATTCTTGGCTGGTTTCCATTTACAGTTGCACTACATAATGGGTCAAACAGATGTTTCTTTTTGCGCATGTAAAGAACCACTGTAACAGCGGTGTGGGCTGAGGACCCCTAGATTATGGTGATGACCATGCTGTTTTCAGTGTGTTCAGCTCCAGGTTGCTGCAACCAGTTCTGTGCTGATAGTCCAGGTACTGGATGTGGTTTTCCGCAGTCTCACCTGCTGCTTCCTGTCTATCAGAAAACTAGTGATGCACTAACAGGGATGGGCAGACACAGTGAGCTGGGTTAATTTGGACTAGAGAGTGTCCAGGATGATGGTGTTCTATCTGAAGTCCACAAAGAAGACCTGTACATAGGTCCCTGGTGAGTCAAGATGCTGCAGGATGCAATGCAGCGCCATATTGACTTCATCATCTATTGACCTATTTGCCCGGTAGGCAAACTGCAGGGGGTCCGGTTGAGAGTCTGTGATGTCCTTCAGGTGGGCTGACACCAGGTTCTTGAAACACTTATGACTACAGCTGTAGTCATTCAGTCCACAGATCAAGGTTTTCTTGGGAACTGGAATGATGGTGGAACATTTGAAGCAGGAGAGAACTACACAAAAGTCCAGTGATCTCTTGAAGATCTGTGTAAAGGTGGGAGCCAGCTGGTCAGCACAAACTTTCAGGCAGGAGGGGGTCACACCATTTGGCCCTGGTGCCTTTCTGATCTTTTGTTTTTTAAAAACGCTATGCACATCCTGTTCACAAACCCTCAGGGGTGGGGGCTGAGGGGAAAGGGGGTGATTGTGGGAGGAACAGCTTCTGATTGCAGGTCCAAGGTGGGGTGAGAGTGAAAGAGAGGTGTGGAGTTCTGCCTTTCAAACCTGCAGTAAAGCTCATTCATTTCATCTGCCAACCGATGGCTCTTCACAGCAGGGGTGATGGTTTCCGCAAGCTCCTCCACACTGACAGTGGGTCATTAGACCAACACCGTATTTTCAGCCTTTCAGAGTAGCTTCTCTTTGCTGCTCTAATCTCCTTTGTCAGTATGTTTCTGACCTGGTTATACAAGAGCCTGTCCCCATTCTTATAGGCCTCAGGGCTTGTTGTTATCGTATGTGTAAAAAGACTTAGTGGGCACCCACATGTCCTTACAGAAGCTGATGTATGTTGTCACAGTATCAGTATACTCATCCAGGTGTGATGCTGCAGCCTCAAAGACACCCCAGTGTGCACAGTCAAAGCAGACCTGTAGCTTTGACTTAGCCTGTTCGGTCCATCTCCTCACTGTTCTAACCAGAACTCCGGAGTTAGAGCTCCATTAAAGTCTCCAGATGCTTTCCAGGTAAGCTGCCCCTGTTATATAATTAAAGTGCAAATTGAACTTTAATGTTAAAACACCAGGTCATACATGGTTCCCCTCATATATTTTGAAATTCAGCTTCATAACATTTCTGTAACTTCTGTTTCAATATCCATATGAGTAAAAGTTGAATTTGAGAATAGCCAGATTTGGATAGCAGGGAAGCTGTTTTGTTGAGGGATCCACACATTTTTTAATTAAGACCCCTCGATGACTCACTGAGGCTTGAGAGAGCCTTTGAAAACCCCATAATGTTGGTAATGTGCTTTTATTTTGCAGAGACATATTGTCTTCCTGTGTTTAGTTTTGTCTGAT